CAGTTTATTTTATTAGATTATCTTATGAATTTATATATTGTTGTGTGTTATGCGTGTTCTATGTTAAACATTATTATTTAAAACATGTTATCTGAACACTTTTTCAGAATACTGATATAATCGTTTTTCCTGAAGATGGCTTGACAACAGTTTATTTGCCGGAAAGAGAAAAAATGGGGGATTGGACAACTATTATTCCTAGTGCCTCATTTAATTATACACCTTGTATTCAAGATACTATTAAAGTTAGCGAAGTATGTATCTGAACATATACTATCTATACAACTTTTTACTATAAAAAACTAATGACAATAGAAATAATTTTACCTTGTTTAAAACAAGAAATTACAATCCTCTCTCCTCAAAAAGGCTGCATTTTTAAATAAATATTTTTAATACTTTCTGAAGCTATATATTTTAAATTATCTAAAAAAAAATTTCAAATCCACAGACATTGAAAAACATATCATGTGCTGCAAGGAATAATGAAATCTATGTGGTAATCAATATCGCTGAGAAAGTTCCTTGCACTGATGTCTCTTGCCCGAAAGATAAAGTGTTGTATTATAACAGCAACGTCGTATTTGATCGCACCGGAAAAATTATTGCTAGGTATCTAGTATTTCGTTATTGTTGCAAAATGTATTTAACAGTAATATACATATACGTCTAATTAAAATAAAATAGGTATCGTAAAACAAATCTTTTTATGGAACGACAATTTAATGTGACAGCAGTACCGGAGATAGTAACTTTCGATACTGATTTTGGAGTAAAATTTGGGACTTTCATATGCTTTGATATATTATTCCGCGAACCCGCTTTGCAATTAACAAGACTTTATCAAATTACTGATTTTGTATATCCCGCATCATGGTTCTCTGAGGTACCATTCTTAACAGGTAAATAAAATGTTTAGAAATATATTATGCCTTTCAAAATTTCAAGGTATATACATTATATGATGATATATATTAATATGTACATGTAAAAAACGTAACAAATATATAATATGATGTTAATATTAATTATTCTAGCTGTAC